ATAATACTTTTATCCTTGATGCATCAAAAGACTCCTAAAAATCATACAGACTAAGTTAAGTATAGTCTATTACATATGCTTAATGTTGCTTCTATAAGCCACAATACAGCTGAATATTAATGCTGTCTACTTTATGAAAGAAAATTAATATTTGTCATATTTCTAGAAAAAAAAAACCAGTATCCTCTTAAAAGCTATTGAATGGGTGACTGTTTGCTATTTTCATGGGTCAGTTTTGCCTCCAGAATCCTTCTTAGAACTTCAACTATATGGAAACATGAAGTACTATATTCTAAAATAGTTAACTAATGTGTTCTGAATTATAATCAGATAAAATATTTTCTGGAGGTATGCCCTTCCTGGAAACCTTGTTTTTAGCATCAGCTAGAGTGAAGACTTTTTGGAATTTTAAAGAAAAGCATATCTCATAAATTGAAGTTTCAGGTCCCTTAAGACAAGTTCTATTTTGGTCTCTACATTTACAATAGCTGAGACTGTCATGGTCGTTCACCCTCATCATTAAAAAACCATACAAAGTTCCTTTCTCCTCTAAAGTTAGAATGTTAAGTGCTGGCCCTGTAGACTAACTTTCTCAGTCCGTGGTTTATCTGGAGGTATAGAGGCTATAGAACCAGTTAGACAAGGTCAGATCTTTTTTTTTTTCTTTATTCATTTATTCATATGTACGTACATTGTTTGGGTCATTTCTCCTCCCTACCCTACACCCCCTCCCTTTCCCCCTTACCCCCCTTGCTTCCAGGCAGAACCTGTTCTGCCCTTTTCTCCAATTTTGTTGAGAAGACATAAGCAATAATAAGAAAGACAAAGTGTTTTTGCTAGTTGAGATAAGAATAGCTATACAGAGAGAATCCTAGCATTGCTTCCATGCATAAGTGTGTTACAACCCGAACTGATTCATCTCTACCTGACCTCTTCACTACTTCCCAGTCACCTTCCCATATTGACGTCTGTCATTTTAAGATTACTGTATGAGCTCCTCTATAGTGGGGACATCAAACACTTTCAAGTTTTGGGTTTCCTACCTATCCCCATTCCTCCCATGTGTGCTCTCCCCTTAGCGTGTGACCCAAGTCCAACAACATTGCTGCATTTGCTCTAGATCTAAAGTCCGCATATGAGGGAGAACATGATTTTTGGTCTTCCGAGCCTGGCTAACCTCGCTCAAGATCTTAATACTGTGAAAAATCTCCTCAAATCTCCTTGAGGAGATTTGAAAAATTACCATTTTTTCAAAATTACTGGAAAAAAGCAAAACTTTTTTATGAGGCCATTATAGATACTTTTGGAATAGTCACTTATAATTTGCATAAAGACTGGCTTTTAAATGGGGGCATAAATAGGAGATGGCAAGAGGTCATGTCTAGAAGGAGCAGCTAGACAGCCCTTTTTTTAACTTTTTAAATTTATTTTTGAACTGTGCATTAATTCAATGGGGGGGTCATTGTGATAATTCTGTACATGCATGCAGTGTACCTTGAACAAGTTTATTCCTGCCATTTCATTTCCATTCCCCACGCTCCTCCTCTTTCTCCCTTTTTTCCACAGTGATTGCTGGGTTTCATTCTGCTGCCCTCACATGTACATATGCAGCATACTTCCATCTTCTTCACCACTCAGTATCCTTTCCTTTCTCTGTCCCCACTCCTGCTGGTCCCCCATAACCATTCACGTCCCATTATTATCATCATCATCATCATTTTAGGTCTAGGTTCTACAAATGATCAAGAACATGTGATATTTGACCTTTTGAGCTTGGCCTAGTTCACTCCAGCGAGATGATCTCCACTTCCACTGATTTTCCAGAAAATGACATAATTTCATTTTTCTTTATGGTTCAGCAATATTCCAAAATATACATATAGTATATGCATACATATGTATATACCATATGTTCTTTACCCATTCATTTGTTGTTGGGCACCTCAGCTGATTCTGTAGTTTGGCTATTGTGAAGAGAGCTTCAGTAAACATGGGTATGCACATACAGCAGCAGTAGAAAACTAATACATACTGCCTAACTGAAAAAGAGAGTTACTAAGGCTACCTCTTCCTTGGACAAGATGATTTTGCAGTAACTTTAGAAAGCAAGTTTCAGTAGTTTTGAATGTGTTGTATAATAATTTGTCCCACATGTAGCATTTTACCAAATGCTATAAAAAGATGAATATATTTTAGATATTGCTAGCAGAGTTACAAGGTTGATAAGATGCCATTCTTTGGAGCTTTGATGCATACAAGGTGGCTCCCTGTGGTTTGGGAAAAACTGGAAGATAGCTTTTCATTTAAAAAAAAAAAAAAGGAAGTTATTCTAGTTTTTAGAATACAAAAAGTCTGATGATTCCTTATCAAATTCTGCCATGGTGGCAAAATATTCTTTGAAGTCTTGGAATAGAATGAGTGTTGCAAGGGTGACATATTACTGCAGTGAGGTTTTCCAAAGCATTGTCAAGGTTTTATTTCTCATAAACATCCATCATAAGAGAGAATAGAAAAAAGCTCTGATTTAGGTGGTCTCTTTCACATGGTAGTTCTCATATACATAAATTTGAGACATTAGGGCACTGGCTCTTGCAAGCAGTCCATCTCCACAGATGATGATGCCACAGGCCATCCTCAAACAGCACTCCTTGCTACTGTTTCCACTAATGTAGCAATATGCTGCTATATTGGGTATACAGAAAAAAAAGGAAACTATAGCAGTAGCAGTTTCTTAGTTGATGAAATTTATTGATTGAAAAGAAATAACAAAGCTTTAGAAAAAAGTACTAAATGCTTGGAAGATTCAGGCCACCATAAAAATAAACTTCAAAACAAGTTTTCAGAACAGCAGTTGAATCCTGCAGAGCCATGTGACGGGTGAAATTAAACCTGCCACAGACACCACATTTGTATTCTTTCAGCAGTCAGGTTGTAGAGTATTGCTGGCTCCTCCTAGTATTGCAGATGCAATGGCATAATTTAGCTCCTGTGGTCTGGATTCATACTAATCTTATTAAACTGTTCCTGTACAATGAGCTGAAGAAAGGCAATCAAAATTAACTCAGTCTCAGAGACATTGACTGCTGGGATGAAATAAGATCAAAACAACTTCAGCACCAGCAACCAGAGTTGTAGTGGTTTATTTTGGACAATAGTGTCATTCTTCCTATTGTACAGAGACCTCAGTAGCAAAGAGAGGGGCTGCCAGGGGGAAATGATTGTATATACAGTTTCCTAGATTGATAGAATGTAAGAGTTTTGTGCCTAGTGTGGGAAAGCCTGTGGAGTTTATATTGGTTGTCACAACCAGTGCCATTCAGTGGTCTGGTGAATTAATCATTGTGCCTTTTAACTGTCCTTTTTCAAACAACTAGTTTTCTTTTTTCTTCTGAATTTTTCGTTTTACAACTAAATTGCCCAAAGTTGTTTAGACATCAATCTTAATAGTGCTACCATTAATCTTAAAATTTTTGAAGTTTTTATGATTTGCTTTCTGCTATAAGTAGTATGTAATCATTGTAGAAAAATAAGAAAATATAGATAGCAAAAAAAATCCCATGATATACCATTACACATTATAAACACTACTAATGTTTTAGGAGATATCGATCTAGATATTTTCTCACTGAAAAAATACATATAAACATATTTCAGCAAAAATAGTATCATACCACACACTGTTTTGCAATCTGCTTCTTTAGTAATCATTCATGTATTTCTGTATGAGTTAGAATTTCATGCCTAATGACCACAATATCATTCTATTTTATGGACTTATGACAATTTCATTAATCAATGTCCCATTATTAGACATTTAGGTGAAATGCATAACTGTGTTATTATAAATAATATTGGCAAACTCATTAGTATATATGTATATATATTACATATTTTCCAGTTATTTCCTCATTCTAGAAATCTAATTACTAGGTTAAAAATAATGAAAATTTCCAGAGATTCTGAAGGCTATCTGCAATTTTATCTTTAAATAGGAATGAAAATATTAAAATCAAAAAAGATAAGTCATTTGAAATCTTTAATTAGTTTTATAAAGATATGAAGTGCTACATTAAAACATGATATATTAAGTTTCTATGTTAAGCCACTTGCACACACAAAAACGTAAGTTATGGGTTTCATTGAGAGCCATTAACTTTACCAATCAGTAAATGACATGATTTTCTAAGTAAAAGGCAATGTTAAAATACTGTCATCTGATTTTATTAATAATTCTTAGGAATTTAAAAAATAAGGCTGAATTAAGATATAACCCACATATCATAAAATTACCCTTTTATAGTATACAATTAAGTGATTTTTTATATATTCAGTTATACAACACTTTCTAATTTCAGAATATTTTATTACTCTCAGAAGAAAGAAAGGTTATATATATTAGCTTGACTTCTTTAATAAACTAAAGGATTTTATAACTATGTTGACATTTAAAATGCAGGTTGGATTTTTCTTTGGTTTAATCTATTCAGAACATTTATATTAAATTTTTCAGTAATGTACACAGTGATTAACTCCTTAAAAGAAGTCAGTATAAAATAGTATAGCTACTGTTTAAAAAAATCAGAATGTGTATACATTCTAGTCACACTTTTAAACATTGAATTTGTAACCTATTGAGTAGATAACATTTTAACAGAGAATAATAAGACAAATTCAGGATTTATACAAGAGATGGTTCATTATCATATTTTGAATGATTTAAAATATAATAATTTATGAAAATGCTATGAGATAAGTTTGTAAGTTATAATTGCACTTTTAAAATAAGATGAGCTCTTTAATTGCAAGAGAACATACTGTTTCTCTTAAACTTGGCTTGAAGAATGGTACCATACTTAAAATACTGTAATAATCTTTAAGACTTATATGTACAAAGTTTATTTTTTCAATGTATTCACTGTTTTCTGTATGAATGAAATTTTGTTTAAACAAGCCTAGTTGTTGGTAATAGAATCCTAACCTGTGTTACTTCTGACTTATAGGGTATCTTTGTTACTAGGGTTCAGCCTGATGGACCAGCATCCAACCTACTGCAGCCTGGTGATAAGATTCTTCAGGTAAGACAAACAAAACTGTTGAATGAAAATCCAACATTGAAACAAACATGTAACCATGATATTAAGTTAATTGAATTAAATGACTGACAATCATAAGTCCTTCTCATATTTCTCATTTGCCTATCTTGTTTTGAAGTTGAGAGACAAGTCAAAAACAATTCAGTCTGATAGAATCCTATGTCCTTAATACCTCCAAAGTACCTGTCACATGGTAGCAGTCTGCATATTTTTGTTGGACTGAATAGAATTACTTGGGAATATAGAAGAATGTATACACACATATATATTCATATATTAACTTATGAATAGTTGTTAAATAAGAGTAATTAAGTACCTATACCTGTGTGATCTTAGATGAGGAAAGAAGACCCAAGAGTAAGTTTATTTCTGTCTGAATCCCATGAAACACATTGTTGTATCTATCTATTACCCTGCCCAGGTGAACACAAAGTTAGCCCTAGATAAGAAACTTCTTAAAATGTATTGTCTGCTGGAACAAGGCTTTCTCTAACTTAAACCTCTGCATATCAGAAGAGTCACTCCACTAAACAGTTAAGCAAATGCTTGCTATAACCTCATCCATTTTGCTGTAGTACTTCTCTCTGAATTTACTTCCCATGTAAGAGGTACTTAATCATTGCCTGTGTTAAAGGAAAAGCTCTAAGGTATTGTCAATGTATTTAAGATTCACTATTTTGGCCACAGAAATTTCCCTCAATGGTGGCTCATGTCTATAATCCCAGCTATGTGGAAGGCTTAAGGATGAAGTCACTCCAAGGGCACCTGGGAAAAAAGTGTGAGATGCTATCTGAAAAATAAACTAAAGCAAAATGGATGAAGGACTGGTTCACATGGTAGAGAGCTTGCCTAGCAAGCACAAGACCTTGAGTTCAAACCCCAAGACTGCCAAACAAAATAAATAAATTTCCCATTATGTAAATAGATGCATCTACTTGAAATTGCTGATATTTGGCCATCTGTAACAATTCTGAAATGGCTCAATGTAATACATTGAAGATTTAGGTATACTAAGAAGACAGAACATATGGGAAAGGAACCTTCATCAGTCCAGCTGCACAAGCACAGTTAGAAAAATACAAAGACCCTCTCCATTCAGCTATGAGATCTTCCATCTTCTATCTATTGAACTCTCTCAGTCCTAAAATACAGAAATATAGAAGTCCTGTGTAGCCCAATGGAGATACTAACAAGATTGCTTTCACACTTTATTCTCATTTTATTCTTGCTAGTTTTAAACTAATTAGCAAGATTATCATCGCTACTCAAGTTTTCAAAATTGATAGTTCTCTGAAAGACAAGCGGTGGCAATGCTACCATGAAACACCACCCAGCAGTCCTGAATCCCTTCCATGCAGACAGACAGAAGACAGTTCAGCAGATGGTCTTCTGAGTTAGAATAGTGACACAAAAAATACACACAAAAGAATCTAAATTTTTTCTTTGTTGGAAAGTCTATGAGTTTTGATAGGTTAACTAGTCTTCTGACCATAAGCAGCTTATAGCATAACTAGCCCTCAGAACACAATGTATAAAATGAACTGTAGTTTATATTATGTATGAGGTCCCTCTCAGCTAAAATATTAAACTCCTTGATAATTTTGTTGGTAGCAGAGAGCCAAGAATAAAGGAGCAACGCCACTTCCTAACACTTTGTAAATACTCATTTGCAAAGGAAATGACTAGTTTTTTCTCTCTACTGAACTTCAAAAATATCATTTTGAATCTCAGAATCTGAAAAACAAATGTAGTCACTTAATTTCAGATCTCTGAACCTATTATTATGATAGGCTGAACAGAAAAACATTATATAGCTTGAGACAAGGTGGTAAAGTTGCCTTCATTCAGGACAGAGGTAGCAAAAGAAAGCTTTTTCTCTTCTGCTCCAATTCAGAAAAATAAATCATATATACATGAAAGACATGCATCATAATGAAGATGCATATACTGAAGATGGGAAAATAAAAAGTTAAGTGTCCACTTACAGTGTCCACTTAAACAAAGGTTTAATATTTAGAAATACTAAAATCCCTAAGATTTGTATAACAACAGCAAAGTGCACAGAGGAATGGTTTCCTAATGCAAGAAGGAGGAAGGAATTATAAATTCAATGAGTTTAAAGACAAAAAACCACAAAAGAGTTGTACCTGGCTGGGTCTTCTCTCCAAAAATGACAACTGAGGATGTAACATTTTGTTTTTACAATAGAACTCATTGTATGTATAATAAAATCAAAGCCCATTATCAGTTTAAAAAATGCATAGACCTTAATCAAATGAGTTACTGTATCTACAGTTTCATTCATAATAATTAGACAGCAAAAGTGGGCAATTATACTCTTAAAGAAATAAGAATGATTGATTTGGAACTTAAATAGTTGCCAATGTCAGAGCTAAGCAAGCAAACTATAATTTTTGACTCTATGATACTACTGGCTTAGTTTAAAGAATGTTGGGAAAAGGATTAATAAAATTGAGTTATCAGCCACAAGGTCAGTGTTGTGTATCACTTGAACAAATTTATTTACAAGGCTAATGACAATGAAAACCTGGCAGGAGAAGAGAAATTAAATAATTTATAGTGAATTAATTAATAGCATCTATATTTTACCAGTTACCAAACAGATTTTTCAAAAATGAGACATGTAAATATGGTACCCAATTGAAGATGATTTTGTCATCTCTTCTACCTTGTCACCATTTTAAGGGTTTTTTAATTAGTAATCCACAATGTACCTCTGATCTCTGGCTGTATTCCTAAGATAACAAAATTGGGCTGGGGGTATAGATCAGAAGTAGAACATTTGCCTAACAAGCACAAGGCCCTGGGTTTGATCTCCAGGATCCAATAAATAAAATAAACAAAACAAATAAAATACCAAAATAAATAGTCAATGTGATAATAATTTAAATAAACTAGCAATTTCTCCTTTTTCCTACTATTAAAGACCATGGTCCTATAACTGATAGGGATAATTCAAGAAACCATTGTCATCAAAGAAGTCTAGCAAAGAATACTGTTAGCAATTATAATTATTGTGCTTTTATTGTTTTTTAGGTTGTTTGTAGTTTGTTTTTTGGGGTTTTTTTTACTTATAGCATCATATCTTGACCCAAATTGTGGAGTTTGACACTCATATTATTCTTCTTCTTCATAACAACTGATTAACTCCACCCTACATCCTGATTAGTATCTTGTAAGGGGATATCATTAGAAGCTCCATTGTGTTAGACTTTTTATCACTGTGACAAAATACCTCAGAAAACAACTTCAGAGAGGAAGGATTTATTTTGGCTCATAGTTTCAGAGGTTTCCATCCATGACCCTTGGCTCCGTTGCTTCTGAGTCTATGATTGGTGACATAGAACATCATGGTAAGGAGTACGTGGTAGAGCAAAGTGGCTATGTCATGGCAAACAGGAGGCAAAGAGAAACAGGAAAAAGGGAACAGAAACAAGATATGGCCTTTCAAGAAATGCCCCCAGTGACCTACTTCCTCTATCTAACCAGGCCCCACCTACTAGTCTCCACTGCTTCTCAGTAAGGCCATCATGTTCTGAAATTCATCAGATTAATCCACTGATTAGGTCAGAGACCTCAATATCCAATCAGTTCCAGAACACTCACCATCTGGCAACCAAGTCTTTTGAAAGACACTTCATAGCCAAAACATAACACCCCTAATAAATAAGAGGGAAGTCATGTGCCCTAAAACGAGCTCAAAGCTAGGAAGACAAGATGAATGTATACAGACCCATTAGAAAACTATAAAGTCCTTGATTTTGTGATGCAACTAAAGATGTTATAGCAGCATTAAGAAAATGAAGTGATTGATAACAGTGGATGTTTCACTAAATAAATAAAGCCAAGATGACTACCCCTCCTCTTCTTGCTTCACCCCACTGAAGCAGCAGGAGATATGACTGTATGGCAGGGAGAACTGGAGGTCATAGAGAGCTCCAGATGGGAACTGGAGCAAAAAAGGGATTTCATGTCTCGTGAACAAAAGTTCCTCTTGGCTAAACAGAGGCAAGCAGGATGAATAGGAGAAACACTTGTGGGTAAGACTGGCCTAAGACTTCAGGAACAGGATAAGAGATTTAGGCCAAAAAAGAGTGAGTGTGCAGTACAAAAATGAGAATATTGAGGCAGAAAACTCACAGGTTTGTATGTTAGAGTCATGAAGAAAGAAAGCTTTGGGACAAGTCAAGTTTGCTAGGCTGGCTCTGTAGTTTGGCTGATATGCAAACAGCATTGATTAAGCATCTATATTGTACCATTTAAGTCACACACTATGAAATAAAGAAAATAAAATAAAAATAAAAGCAAGCTGTCCATCAAAACAGAAACCAACCTGATTATCGAGGCCTCTGAAAATAAAGAGAATTTTCAAGTTATTCTTTTCCTGGCAAAAGTAAAAGGAAAGTATGATTTCTTGGGGGGAAAATGCCTTGTAAATCAAAGTAGAAAATTAACACTTGCTGAAGATGTTTGTTTGCCATGTTTCATAAGAAGAAAACAGGTACTCTAAATCTAGAGTGGATAAGTAAATTTCTTCAGAATTTCATATAGACATCTAAGGGAGAAGAAAAATCTTATTTATGTTTTATTCTGTGAAGAATTTTTATAATGCTATCAAAAAAGCCATTAAGACTTCGCATTTTCTTGGGCTGGAGGCATGGTTCAAGTGGCAGAACACTTGCCTAGAATGTACAAGGCCCTGAGTTCAAATACCAGTACCACACACACACACACACACACACACACACACACACAAACCTGCAAATTTTCACACATTTACAAAGAGTAATGTAAATTTTCATGTGAAGTTCTTGTGAAATGAAGGTCTATAGTTCAGCTTTTTGATAGAAAGCTTTCTTTAAATGACTTGGCAAAGAGGCAATGTAGTATTGATTATACAAATACTCACTGCTAAATATAACCCAATATTTAATGAGTACTTTATTAGATGAAAATTCTGA